TTTAATTCAGCACTTCACAGCTCTTCGCAAAGCGGTTTGCAGGCACCAATCGAGAAATGTCACCCCAAACGGATCCGAATTCTGGGCCTATTTTGTGACAACGACTTTTTAAGTCTTTAAAGGCTTTGGAGAGGTGCAAGACCAGTAAGGACGTGGAAAGCTCTTAGTACATCCCAAACCACAAAAAGCAACAGTTCCAAAGATTACCAGGATCCTTGGCGATGCGCCGCAAAGCGACCGCCTGGCGGGATGCCTCTCAGTGCTCGACGAGCTCATGGTGGATGCGGGAAGACGAAGGCTGGAAGCAGGCTCAAACCAGTGAGTCCGTGTTGCGGGCAACGAGAACACACAAGCGTAGACATTTTGGGAGTAGGGTTTGGGGTTTAGGGTTTAGGGTTAGGGTTTAGGGTTCAGGGAGACATTTCGGGAGCACTTGAACAGACAGAGGGAAGATCAACTACAGCCAGTCGCAGTAGGGAATGGTCCGTTCGAAGCTGGAATTGCTTTGTTCTATGACCTGAATGGAGTTGTCCGACAGTGTCACAACGTGCAAGGATTCTTTGTTTGGACATGAGTTAGATTTAAATCTGTGAAGCTGACGGACGTTGGCTTCAACGTTGCTGTGGTTTTGCAGAAGAACATATTGTTGCACGTTTTGCATTGGTTGAGAGTGGATCTTTGGTTTTCAGATTGCAAATGGAAGCATGAAGCAGCCAGCCAGGGAGTTAATATGTTGTGTCGCGTCCCATAGAGAAGAGTTTTCTCTGGGACTTGGAACCCAGCGAAAGTCAAGGGTGCGTTGAGATTGCATTGTTGGACAGCGAGCACCGTTGGCTGCAAGATCATCGAGAGTTGAGCTTGTCGGATTGGATCCAGGTTGGACTGAGGTTCCGAGGCTTGCAGAGGCCCGTTCAGACTTCTGAGGTCCAGGCGCCAGCTTGCTTGGCTCAGCAGCTCAATCTCAGAAACTGTCGAGATTTGAGCCGTCGAGATCTTTGAAGAGGCTTGGCGTGGGAGAGCAGTGAGAGCGTGCCCACCGAAGCTTTTCTCGAGGTCCGTCGTGGCTTCTTGAGTTTTTGAGTTTTGAATACAAAGGACTTGGAGCCAGACGTGGCTTAAAATTCCACATGTGTTGAAGAAGAGAAGCAGCGCCAGGCCTCACCCGGACTCGAGGCTTCGTGGGACTCCTTCAAAAGGGTTACAAAGCTCTGAGTCCCCGAGGCCTCGTATCTTGCAAACTAAAGCGGTTTTGGCATTTATCGAGGCCTCGAAACCCCATGAGTGAGGCCTCCCCTACGGGCCTCAATTGAAACCGGCTTCACCGGGGCTTCAAATGCGATTCCCCAATACTGGGACCGTATTTGAACGGCGTGTGAAGCCAATCTGAAGCAGGCTTCAAAAGGGCTTCAAATGCGATTCCCCAATACTGGGACAGCGTTTGAACGGCTTGCTTGTGAAGCCAATTTGAAGCCGGCTTCAAAGGGACTTCAAATGCGATTCCCCAGTACTGGGACGATTTTTGAAGCCGGGGGACTCGGGGATATTAAAATTCTTAAAGNNTAAAGGAGAGTAACCTTGACAAATCGTGCTGGGTCAGCCACTGGCAACGTGATGCGACCAGCAGAATTTAGTCCGCGGCTTGCCCCAAGTGCCCGAAACCTTGATTTCACCGCAAAAGCCTTCTTGAGTCCAACTTGAAACCATGATTTCGTCGGGGAGCCTTTCGATGTTGCAGACATGCTTGAAAAAGTTCAATTTGTGCGACCCCACCTGTGGGGTCGAAAAAACCTAGCAATTCTGGCTTCGCTTGAGTGGGCCTCCCCAGTAGTGTCTGCCGTTTGTGTGGTTCTTGGCTTGCCGTGTGCTGCGCACACAGTTTACCGGGTGCCCGCATCCACATGGCGCGGGCGCAGCTGTGTCTTGTGCCATGGCCATGTCAGCCACAACCGAAGCCTGCATTCAGCTGTGCTATGTGGAGCAGACACCGCATAGTATCCAGGAGCTCGGCACACCTCTCCTGCCTTGACTGGTGCCTACATCGACATGCGCTTGTCAACATCCGCGGCAGTTTCGAGTGCCGAGTCGGAACTTCCACGGCATCTTAAACATGTGCAGCTCTCTTACTAGTGCGACTGCGGAAGGCGAGGACAGCTGCCAATTGTAGGACTCATGTCGAAATGAGCGGAGGCTTCATGGAGTGAAGCCGGGTGCCGTCTCGGTGCGACTGCGGAAGGAAAGAAGGAAAAGACTGCCAGGTATTGTTCCGGTTAGGCAGTATCCATCCTTCTCCCATTCTCTACCTCCTGTCTGTACAAACTCATTTCATCTGTTCCTTCCGAGAGGGTCAAGCTTGAGCAACAGCTGCCGTGTGGTCTGAACGTCTCGAGCTTCACTACCGTTCGCGTGGTGCATTCATGCAAGGCGGAAATCAAGAAAACAACGTATACAACCTGCGATCTGTTCAGTTTTTGGAGCCCACAACGGCAACAGGTGAGATTTTCGCGATGTAAGGGCCGATAAGATTTGTATATTTGTTGAATACTTATTATGATGTCCTCTGCCAACCTCTATGGTTCTTTTTGGCTGCGCTACAATTTTCCCAGCTCATTTTCATACCTCTTGTATGTTGCTGAACATTTGTCAAAGATTTCGTCGCAAAAGAGCCAAGTTGTGTTCTGGCATGTCTGCAATAGCAGCACAGGTGCAGCATACGTAACCTGTCAGTTGGGTTCTGTTCTTAAAGCCGTGCGGTTGTTGATTGCATGTTCGCAGTTCGCAGGATGTGGGGAACATCATTGGAGAAGCAATGTCCACAACTCTCAACTTGGGGGTGCTTGTTTAAGTTACAACATGTGGTCGACAATGCACATGCAAGAGCATGATCAGCACACTGACATCAAGACCTCAGGCTACTTCAACTTGCGTGTGAAACCAAAATAGCTAAGAACTACTTGTCTGGCGGGTGGCTATGCCCGCTGATTAGGACACGGCGGATGGGATGCAGAAAAGGTCCGTCGCCCATGCAATGTTCGCACGTACTGCATGTCGCTACGTGCTACAGAATGGTTTGTTCTTTCTGCCAGGATCTCATGGCATTGGCCGCCACAGTTTGCAATTCTTGCCTGTGGGGTGTGGCTTGCTCTCGGGGACAGAGCGAAGGCAAGCAGCGCAGGTATCTAGCAATCATCACATCCAACGGGCTTACGTGCATGAGTCTTCTTCAGGTCTCGTCAGTGCTACCACCGCACGGCAGCACCGCTGGTGGCACGCACATCGTGTTGCTGGGAAGTGGATTTCGAGACCCGAGCGGTCCCAACCCCTTCGGCTGCTGTTCTGAACGGTTGGAGAAGAAAACTTCATACCGGGTCCAGGATGAGGTAGGCGGTTGCAAGGAGCTTTCAAGCACCACGGTCCAGTTTCTTCATTTGTGCCCGGTCTTCCCCAGACTCACTCTGACAGCCAAGGCTTCCAGTCGGACTCTTGACTGAAATCAGTTTTACTTGTTGGTACTGGTTGAACGTGTCAGCAGTGGTGTCGTCGTAGTACGCTTGACCCAGGTGTCCGTCGGTGGCGAGCCATGCACCATTCTTGAGGTCTGTTCCCACAGTCACCCTCGTGCTTGATGTGGATGCATTTGTTTCGGCATGCCCGGCAGCTGTGGAAGTTGGTGGTGCCTGCATGAGCGATTGTTCCAGTCATGGCGAAGCCCGTTGAGACCGGATGGATGTCCATGTAGGACTTTACGACCTCGGAGCAGATTCTCTGCGAAACGCCTGCTGGACATGAAGGTCCACCAGTTGAGGTCTGCCTCAGGCGTCGTTGCTTCGCAGTTTGATGTCCTTAGCCGTTGCAGCTGTCAGCTTGATGCTGGACAGGTTGCATGCCGATGGACCGTGTGAGCCGAGCTGTGCTGATTGCAGATTTCAATACACAGAGGCTGGTTTTGCGCGTACTCGGCTTGTCTGCAGTGTCAGTCATTTTTTTTTGCAGGAGGAGACCCCGTACATTTCATGGATCTCCGCACGGGCGCTCTCTGCTGGAGATCAGATTGCTTTCGGCGCCGCTGATCCTGGCGCCTTGCAGGTCTCGGGTCTCGACCGCCTTTCGGCATGGCAAGTTGGAGCGCTCAACGAAGGGGCCAACCGTAATTTACTCGGGTTCGCTTGTCAATCCAAGGTGCCCTGATTGAGATCGGCAGTTTCATTTGCGATGCCGGGGCACATGAAGTGCTGAATTCAGATGATTTTTTCCTTGAGTGTCCCAGCGGCACAACATGTATGGCAACTTGCAGTCAGCTACTGATGTTCTGAAGATGCATGGCCGTTTCCTCTGAAGGAGGCGGACTTTGAATTGCGTTTTGCCGGACACCGCTGGACCTGGCCTCTCATGGCTGCGGATCCGGGCTCTGCCCATGGGTTTGGATGATCCAAACTGCGCGCACTACCCTTGTGCCGCGGCCTAGAAGCTGGAAAGATTCATGTGCTTAAGCCTTCAAGCCACCCGGCTTCAGCTCGAGCTCCCGGCGTCCCAAGCCGCAGGTACAGACCACAGCAGCCAGCCGCGGGGCTTTGGATTCGCTGTCTTCCGCGCGTGGCAGGGCCAGGCAGAACTGCCGCCGGCATTTCTCGACGGCGACTTCAAGCCATACGAGCCTCAGAGCACGAATGTTTTCTTTTGGTGAGGCGCGCTCTGTTGACCGAAGCCTGGAGTCGCTTTGAGGATTTGACAATTCATCCCGACATCCTCGGGATCAGCCCAGGCCTTGCACTTTGGTAGTGGAAAACCAGCTGTCGATCTGATATCGTTTCGGGAGGTTGTCCGTACATGCACGTCTTGGACAGAGCTTCCATTCGCAGGTTTTTCCGGCATTCTTGGTGGAGCGACAATCAACATATCAGGAAGAGCTTTCGATCCAAACGTGAGCAAAACGACGGCCACTTGGATGCATGCAAAGCATAGAAGGCTTTAGGGCAAGCTCATACGTGCACTTGTGATCCACAAGTTGCAGAATCTTTGCAGTCAGATTGCTGTCGCAACGGATGTAGCATTCATCCTCGGACCTTGTAGACAAGCATGACACAGGCTTTGCTCACTCTGACTCTGTGGGTCTTGGCATCGAACCTGCAGTTCAGGTTATGGTTGGCACAGAGCCTTGCCAAATCACGCAAGTCCTGCCGGGGATGCTGATGTGTGAGCTGGCATCTTGGTGGGCAGCCATCTTCTCTTAAGCTTCAGAACCATCCCGATCTCTCCTAGGTCTGTATGAAGTTGAGGGAGAAGTTTCAGGGCAGCAAGCTACAACAGCGGGCTGAATTGGAGGTTTACAGTCTCTCTACCTCCAGAACATTTTGTTCAGCCAGGAGAGGGGCAGTTCAGAGTCGGTGTCCTTTTTGAAGTTCGGCCCCAAGGGGTTGAATCCCGATTCCCAAGGCAGACCTGCAAGAGAATGTCAGCTGCATTGACTTCGAGGTCTTTGTGGGTGGAAGTCCCTTCTCAGGCTGGTTTTTGCAAGTGGGAGCCTTGACATCTTTTTCAGCAGACATTTCCAGAATCCGTAGCGGCACCGTGGAACGCAAAACCTTCGTCCGCTGCAGTTCAGACAATTTTAGAGACCAAGCGATGTGTGCTCGTTTGGGGGTTTTCCGCCCTGCGACTGAGCTCTTAGTGCCTCCAGGTGTGAAATCAATCCAGTACAATGCGAACGTCATGGAGATAGCTTCATGCCCCCAAGCAGAGGGCCGGGGTGCTGACTCTGGACGGCAATTTACGGCTTCTTGGCTTGCGGAAAGGGATTTCAGTGATATTCAGTGATTGAGTCCAACACATGTGCACCTCGCTTGGAAGGTTTATAGGTCGAAACACAAGGACGCAGTTGAGTTAAACATGCGGCTGCCCGAGAGTTTGGCGTCCTGAGCGTAGCGGGACGCCCTCGCGGCCTGAGGTCAGCATGAACATCTCTAGCCAACGTGGCTACTACTGGACCGAGGACTCCTGCCAAGCTGCATGCCGGCTGCAAACTCCTCACCCCAACGCAGATGCCTCCTCTTTTTGGAAGGGGACTGCGATCTCCTGCCGGGTTTGGGCTAGGGCATGGGCTTGAGGCTTGGGTTTCAGGGTTTCTGCGAGCAAAGGTGCTTCTTTCAGGCACGCATCCTATCTAAGAGTTTGTTGAAAGTGGAATGTGCGCAGCAGGCGTAGTGTCGTGGGATCCGTTTGAAAAACAACATGGTCAAACGTGAAGCCTTCGACCATTTTCGGCAGACATCCCAACACTACTTGATCAAAGTCAACGACTTCACATCACACACCTATGACAAGGAAGGGCAACACGTCAGGGGCGAGATGGTCGCGAGTAGCCGCTCGGTTGCAGGAAGCCATAGTTTATTTTCGACCGTGGTCGCACTTCCAGGGCTCAAGCGTATGTCGCAGCTAACGCAACTCAGCGTGCAGCGCTTCGGAATGATGTCTCGAGGCGAGGAAAGACTGACTTTCTGCTGTGCTATGGATGGGACCACGTGCGAGGGTCCTCGATTTGGCCAGGCGCAAAAAGTGAGATGTTGCTCTTGACTCGGCCTCGGCCGAAGGTTGCGGAGACCTAGCCACAGCGGTTACTAGCGTGGGACCGCGAAAGCTTTGAGCACCGGAGACAGACGACACGGACTTGGCATGTTGTAAGAGGAACCAACGTCAGTGACTTAGCTGCTCTGTGAGTTGTGCAGGTGACGACATCTCTGCCAACATATTGGGAAGGATGGGGAACCTGGGTCTCGAAGCCGCAAAGATCTGTTGTGCTGGTCGTGCAGCTGGGTGTCTCAAACAGAGAGACTGTGCCACTAAGGTGCAGATTGGAACGACGACAGAAGATCCCATGTACGGATCATGCCACTCAGAAGATCAGAAAGTTGGAAGTCTCGCGAGGTATACCTTCCCGTTGTCCCGCTACCATCCGCTACCTTAAGCCCCGCTCACTGCTTTCCCGGGTCCTTTCCCGACCGGAGCTGAGGCTTCCCACCGCTGCCGCACCGGGACGCGCTCCGCACCTGCGAGCTGAAGGGCATGAGGCCCGGCAGCGCGGCACTCTTCGCCCCTCTTCAAATCCCAATTCTGACGCAGCTATCCCCCCAAAGCAGGCACCCTTAAGAGGGTTTCGAAGAGCTTCGGCAGGTTGTGCACTCGCATGGAGTTGAACTCTGGACTTTGCTGTTCGGCCGACTGCAGCTCCAGTGCCATGGTGAGACTTCGGCATCCCCTGCGTTTCTCTACTTGGGGTTCCATGGGTAGTTATAAGTGGGGTTCTAATATAAGGTAACTATAGTTAACTACCCATGAACCTCCAAGCACAGGTCTCGAAGCTTACTCCAGGGTTTGAGGGGTTTCCCGTAAAGCGGTTTGAGACAAAAGGGACCATGGGGACCCTTCTGCAGCAGGGGAGTCCTCCGTTCCGAAGCTGGCCCATCATGAATCGCAAAGCTTCCGCCGCAAGCCACAGGTGATGGCACAGCTGCATGGACGTCGGACGAGGGCTATTTGCAGGAGCTGGTCATCACCGCAGAGGACGGCGAACCCTGGCAGGAGGCAGGGTCCTTTCTCATCGTTTCCTCAACCCCAAAGCTCCATTCCCACTCGGGTACAGTAGTTCTCTAAATTAGGGTCCCTTTTCAAGTCCCCAATATAGTACGGCACCCTTATTAGAAGGACCCAAAAAGAGACCCTAATTTAGAGAACTACCCACTCAAGTGTACGAGCACTTGTTCCTGGACACCTTGTGCAGGAGCTGTGGATCCGCTGTGAAGAGAAGTGCCGCTTGGCCAGACGAGCCTCGAGTGAAGCCCGCTACAGCCTCCAAGCATCTGCCAGCATCTGCGCCCCTTCCGAGGCGGCTTTCCGTTCAATGTCACGTATCCAGACCTGGGCAACGAGACCACGACGACGACAACCAAGTATTCACCAGCTGAGAGACTCGGTCGTTGCGTCGTGTTGCAGCATGCAGGATACCGCACTTAGAGGACCATGGGACTTAGTAACTAGGGTTATAAATAAGGTAGCTATACTTGTAAGTGATTATAACCCCAATTAAGGTAGTTATAACCTTACTTACTAGGTCCCATGATCCTCCAAGCAGTTCATGTCCAGTTCTCGCATCCCAAGGATCGCTCTTTGGGAGTTTGCGCCATGGCTCCGCCCGGACGACTACATACCTCCGGAGGAACAGGAGGCAAGTGGGAGTTTCCGAAAATAAGGGGTACCGTATTTTGGGGTCCTTATAATAAGGATCCTATAGTATTTGGGGTACTGTATAAGGGTCCCCCATTTTCGGAAAGCCTCAAGTCTACAGCAGCAGCTGATCGGACCCAGGAACTGGATTCTAGACTGTCGGAGCCCAGTTAAATGCGTTGTCAAGGATCCCGGCCTGGTCCATTCGGACTATCAGCCGGCCCAGTGCATAGGGGGCCTCGACTGAATGCCACGCAAGAGCAGCACTTAAGGCGATGCTGTAGACACCACGGAACCCACTGCCCTTTGACAGTCTCTCTAGAACTGGGCTCGGGCACCTCCATCCTTTTCTGGGCGGCACGCTGCGCACAGGGATGCCCTGCAGAGGAGACCTCCACTCCCGGACTGCACTTTTTCCGTACCAATATATCAAGTCCGATGACCTTGTGTTGAAACACCTTGCGCTAGTCGGTATGATTGGTTTAGAAAATATTAGCACTGAAGCCTTCTTGAAGGGCCCGGTGCCTCTGGGGCCACCGCTTCCGGAGCCGCTGCGCCCCTTCGAGTCCCCGCACTTGCTGGCGCCCTTTGCCGGGAACCGAGGCGAGGCTTTGTCTCTGTGGTACTGCGGCCATAAAGATGTCCAGGGCCCAAAAGCTTCTAGAGCGATATTTAGGAATCAGGGCTGTCCGAGTTTGGGCCATGTCTTTATGGACTTCGCTGTTCAGAGTTTTGAGTTGTGGGAGCCTGGATCTTATAAGATCGCAGACCTGGGGTTTGAACTGTCGTGCCCCCATTCTGGTTCTGAATGCTGGGCTTTGTTGCGTTTAAAGTTAGCCAGCTGAGCATCCTCAGAACTCGGCTGTGATGCCCGAGGAGTGCTCGACACCCGAAGCCATCCAGCCCACTCGGAGAGGCCTGCGCTACAGCCTCTACGCAAACCCGGAGAACCTGCCTGTCCACCGCGCCCTAGGCCGAACAAGGGTGGTGGATTCTGGGGATTTGAAAGGGATTCTTCGAATGATCCTGGCCAAGCACCCAAAGGGACTCAAGGATCCATCCCCTCGCTCGACAAACTCTGCCCTGGAGTATCAGCCCATCAAGGGCTTTGTAGCAGCTCGCGCAGTGCAGGTTCTTCAAATGCGGGATACCCGCAAAGCCCCTTGATGACCGGCACGATGGTGGATGTTCTGCGAGGTCCAGCGGGCGGTGCCGGGGTAGGTTTGCAGATCCCAGATTCGTCGGCAAGATCTTGTGATAAGGTGCTGCAAGGTCATGCGAGTCAAGGGTGAGGGGGCGCGACTCTATCCAAATGTTGCATAGCCAATGCCGTCGAAGCTATCCAGGAGCCCTTACCCACGTCAAGTTCGATCCCATCCCGCAGTCTGTCCGATCTGCGAAGCGAACCTATGCTGCTCGGCCTCAATTCAGAAATTGTGTCGCGGGGCCTGCAATCTCTTGCCCCTGGCAGAAAACGCCCTTACTCCCCCCCTCCAAATAGAGAAACCGGGTTATCACCGTTCGGGGTTTCAGTATTGGGGGGTCAGTTTTAGCATCTTCCCATGGCTCGCTGCTGTTGCCTGCAGAACGTTTTGAAAGTGTCAACATTCTGTGAACAGCCGTGATCCACCAACGTCCTAAACTCCTGCTCAGCTCTGCTGAGGTAGCTGGACCTCCACTGATGGACGACACAGGCCATGACTTCTACGCGGAGGACTCCTTTATTACTTGTTGCTGTTTCCTTCCAGGCGCAGATTCCAAAAAGCACGCGCCAGCAAATCCCGGAATGAAGAAGCTACTTGCTACACGTCCTTGTTGGGAACAGCCCCATCACATCCATCACTACCAAGCAAGCTCAGGTCATGCAGCATTTGGCCAACTGGCCACATTAGGGACAATGGAAGCTACCCCCTTTATTTTCCGTTCAGTCCTTCACGGTCAAGTCTCGCAAGTCGAGTGGCATTGCAGAAGGATTCTCCCCTCGGATCTTCTGACAGTTCCGTCCGTCCTCCTTGCAATCGTGCACGACATTGTGTAATTAATTGAAGAGAAAACCGTGTTGCAGAAACATCCAGCTTGTCTTGTCTCCAAGGCCAGTCACACGCAGCCTGAGCAATACCTAGTTGTCATGCCGTCAGCTCAGCAGCACACCAAGCGTTGCCCCAAATAAAGCTGTAGCCCACGTGTTCATGGAGAACAGGAGATCGTAGGCTTCTTCGTGGCTCCTTACGCGGCGAACTACAGCTTTTATTTGGCGGCCGACGACGAGGCCGCATTGTGATTCCAGTGCGGCCACTAACCAGCAGTCCATAACAACGACTGAGAAAGCCTCAATGACAGGCAGTCTCGGATAGTCTGGGTGCTTCCCTTTCCATGCTCCGCAAGGCAGATCTCTCATTATCCTGCTGTGGCGACATGGCTGGCATGAAGGCGACACCCTCAGGAATTGCGAGACCTTGCGAGTCCTCAGTGTGGTAGCCAGTTCTCAGGTCATCGTCCGCAGCGAAAAGGTGGACTTCGCCATGCCACGCTATACCCCGTTGGCATGGTACGGGAGCTGCCAGGCATGGGGGCCGCCAACTTCCTTCGTTTTGTACTGCTGCTGGAATGAAGTGTCTCTGACTTCCTATACCGTTCAGCATTTCACGTCCTTCACTGTGATGTGTGGCCGGTGTTCTGCGGTGCTCCAATCGGGCAGCTGCTGCAACAGGCGACTGGCACGGGATCGGACGAGCCGGAATGCTCCATCTCCAAGCCAGTTGATATGTCCGCAGGTGACGCAGCTGACTGTAAGGGGTTAAGCAGGAAAGGCAGTGGGCATATGCGCAGAAGTTGAACAAAAGTTCCGGCCAACCATCCAGTTCCCGACAACACCAACCCCAGACTGCAAAGACCCGAAGTCCAACCCATAGCTGTACGGTTCCTCGGAGATGCATCAAGAGAAACTTCTAGTGACTCCTTTGGTTCCCCACCTGCGATTCTGAACTCCCAGAATGACCAGGTGACCGTGTGCTCATGCGTGTGCGCCACCGCGACCATGTGGGAGCAGAATCTCAGTGCGAACTCTGGTCAGCTTGTTTGAGGTTCAGAGTTCTCATATGTTCTCATAAAACCACGGGAGCACTCCCTGAGTCAAAAACTCCGAACCCAGGACTGGCTCCGGGTGGGCCTGCGTGTCCACATGCCCATCCAGTCTGTTGAGGGGCGGCTCCACGGCAAAGGGCATTTGGAGGATCTTTGTGAGATTTTATACCTTTGGCCCAAGCTGCAACATATCTAGAGAGGTAGAAACAGTTGTCTCCAGGTCCATGCCGCCAGCCGAGATCGTGAGGCTGCGGCATGTCTGAGTCCTTGCATGGATGAAGTTTGCTGCAGACTACGTTTGTCTCAGCCCGCAAAATCCGTTGAAGCCCTGTAGCCCCAAACCGAAGCACAAAAGGAGGAAGTCCTTCCTCGAAGTGCAGAGACTGACCATGACGGCGAATGTGGTGCGCGAGAGGCAGGGCTATGGGAAGGCTTCAGGGTTGCTGGGTTTTGGAGGCGCGCCCGTAGCTTCCTTGGCGGATCCCCAGGCTCTTTAGCTCGCACCCGCTTCAGACCTTTCCCAGGCACCGGATGAATTTCCTCCGAGTCCTCACAGGCCAGGCCTTCGCCGCTTGCATCCCAAGCCTGAACTCGGTTCATGCTCCATAGAGCCATAGCAGCCATTGGACTTTGGTTTTCATGGCCTCCAGGCAGCTTCCGCGTCCGTGTGCGCCGCTTCGCGCAGAACTTCCTTCGTGAAGGTGTCTCGGGCGACTCGGCTCATGTGTGGGGACCTTTCGACTCGTGCAGAGGATTTCATACACGAAGACAAGTGACATGCGTGGACCGTCACATGACCACCACGCCCTGTCGTTTGTTGTGCAGCCAACAGCGTCACGTCATGAGATGCACGCTGCGAGCAGAAGCCTTCACAATGCTCGTGCCCTTGGCATACAGTAACACAGAGCTTGGCACAGCACGGGGAGGCGGACATGCTTGGAGAGTCATGCTTTCAAAAGCAGTGGCGACTGGTGGGTGATCGTGGGTCTGCAAAAACATCGCACCAAAGCATGCCCGCGCATCAAGTCACAGCAATCTGCAACTTCTGGGGTCGGGCACACTGCTGGCCCAAGGGATCCAAGAGCAACGATCCTAGGCGTGCTGCGTGTGGGTGCTACTGCCGCGGAGCTCGCCCGCACACTTTGGGACACTATGGATGCCCGTGCCGCAAGAGTGGAGCTTGAGGGTTGGCGGATTCAGGATGTGCGTCTGTGTGTGTAGTTCTAGGAAACATGGAAGGATTCAAGTCATGCGACGCACGTGTGATCTTGTTACTGGTCCCTACCTAAACCCTAAACCCTAAAGCCCTAAAGCCCTAAAGCCCTAAAGCCCTAAAGCCCAAAACCCTAAACTCTAAAGTCCTCCTTCGCCCAGTTGAGGATCTCTATGGAAGAGTCCTGGAGTGCGAGCCGACTCTTGAGCGAACGGAAGATGCCGACAACGCAGTGCCCCGTGCCAAGACGTGTCCTGTACTTGGAGGTTCAGGGGTAGTTATAAGTGGGGTTATAAGTAAGGTAACTATAGTTATAACCCATATTAGGGGACGTATAACCCCACTTATAACTGCCCATGAACCTCCAAGTAGGTGCACAGGCTGACTCGCTGCAGCAAACTCCCAAAGCTTTGCTCATTTTGCTACTTCTGGTGGCGGGATTGCCGGTGGTGCTATCACTACTCAGTACTCGCTACCGTCACTACCGTTCTTGTCTGTTGGAGTGATGCTGTGTGGACATTTCCAAGCTATCGCGGGCTCTTTGAGGTCGGTCGGAGAAGTTTCGTCTTGCAGTGCACTTGTAGGCCAGTGAAGAAAATGCACGTCAGTGATCTCGCTTGGTCTCGGTCTATCTCTTTCGATTGGGAGTTTCGCAATCCGCGGCCACGCTGGATCTCGGAGAATCGCATGTGACAACATTTGGACTCCGACCTTCCAGCGACGCTTTTGCTTTGTCCCAGTCCCTTCGACAAGGGAAGTGGCCAAACTTGCGTCGCTGCGCTTGGAAATGGACCTTGGCTCTGGCCAGAGTGACAGGAAACTTGCAGAGGCATTGAATCGCAGCAAGAGTTTTCTTGCCGCTTGCACTCGCATCGAATGTCTGTGGGTCAGTATTTCGGTAGTGACGGCACGTCTCAGGAAGCATCGCTGGAGCCGTGAGCTGTGAAGCTAGTTACCGCTTCTTTCTCGATGACAACGGCTGGCATTCTGAACTGAACCCTACGAACTCACCGGCGAGCCAAGGTTGGTCTATTTTGTGACCTTCCCCTGTCCACGGCAAGCAGACGGGAATCCACATGCCGTTCCGTGACTGCGTTGTGGATGTTGGGAGGGATAAAAGTCCTCCTTCCCGAAACAGGCGCCCCTCATTTCCATGACCCGGTTTGTTGCGAGAGGCTCGGACAGTGAAACAGCCGAGGACACCCTGGACATCGTGCCCGGTCTCGACGTCATCGCCACCGGCCGAGAGGGATGGGCCGCTCGGCTCCGCAGAGCGATGGCTTCGACCAGCCTGAAGAAGACGTGGCCGATTAGACTCACGCACCTGTCCTATCGAATCTTCCGCTTCCGTGTCAGCCGTGCAAACGGGAAGGAGTTTCGAATCAGACAGGTGCAAAGTCGAAGCCCGTATCTTCCGGTTCCAGCGGAGCCAAGGTCATGAACTCCGCCTACTTGCAGTCTGCCTCGGAGCTCGCCCCTTGACAGGAGGACATGACCCGTGCGAACATGTTCAGGGGCATGGAAACTCCCCGCACTCTCAGGTGCAGGGCAGTTTCCGGCTCCACTTTCGAGGGCAGTGGACGGAGGTGGCAGGGCTCCATTCCATGAAGCCAGGTTTGCCAGAATCTCCACGGACTGAGCCACACTGCCGAAGTGCTTTCTGTTGCCGGGTCCTCCTAGCCGTTTACAACAAGTGCCTTAAACCCTAAACCCTAAACCGTTCCTTCTGGGTGGAAGGCAGCAGCCCCTGCTGCCCCTGCAGGCCATCTCGTACCAGGGCTGGCAAGCTGTCCAGCGGCAGCTTCTGATGCTTCCGGGCCTGGGTGACGTTCGCATCTGGCCTTTTGCAGAGGCTCCGATGTCAAGATATTTCAAGATGCTCGCAGCCTTCTCTGTTCACCTGTCCTCAAGGGATCCATCCATCCATCTATCTATCTGTCTATCTATCTGTCTGTCTAGCTATCTAGCTATTTATCTACTTGTCTATCTATCTATTTATCTATCCATCTATCTATGTATCTACCTATCTACCTATCTACCTATCTACCTATCTACCTATCTACCTGTCTACCTATCTACCTATCTACCTACTAGCTAGCTGGCGAGCTATCTATCTATTTATCTATCTGTGTTTCTCGCTCGCTCTTTGGTCTTCTCGGAAGTGTCGTTGTCCCTGATACCGTGTAGACCTTTGTTTGTTCAACTGTCCTGCTGCTGCAAGCACAGCACCTCGTCACCACTCATGACATACCTGAGCATTTGTGGAACAGGTGCTCCAGGAGGGCAGAGAAGGGTGGTCAGTGGGACTCCTACTGCCCGGGGAATCAGGTCGGGCCTTCTGAAGAGCTATGCGATTGCCCCTGACTGCCCAGAGTAGCCTGCTTGTCTTGATTCGTCTTGTTGCTCTCAGAGATCTGCACATTAAGATGTCACGAAATGGACTTTGACAAAGCCGAACTTCAGATCGGCTCCAAGCCGTCTAAGTCCCACTGCCCTGAAGGCGGTGGCGAGGACATGCCCGAGATTCACGTTGATGGCTCCCGCTTGTCTGGTCCAGGCTGGGGCGAGTTGACGGAACGAGCGTTGGCAGAGAACCCTTGAGCCGGCCGGCTGGTGGCACTGCCTCCGGATGGATATGTAACGCAACAATACAGCTGACAGCGGCACATTTATTGCTGCGACGAAGCCGACTTCTGCGCGCGGTCAAGATATGGTGTTCGTTTGCTGGGCCAGTTTGGAAATTTAATACATGAGAAAGAGAGGGAGGCGGAGTCAGAGTCCCTCTGCACAACTCGCTAATGGGTGCGCCAAAGTGCACAGAAGAAGAGGACCGGTCTCTAATGCCTTAAGCCTGAAAGCAGAAGCTAGACTCAGTGACGATTGGGACTGCTTGATTCCCATCGAGAACGTGGGGGAGGAGAGGATGAGAGCAATGTGTGAACAGAGGAAACATGCGAGTCACATCGAGGTGCCGGGTCATCTGTGTGCAGTCTGGGTCAGCTTTCCCTCTGCCAGCTTGCAGGTGTGCGTCTGTCCATCGATACGCTCGCGAACGGCTCACAGGATCTCTTCTTTGAGGACTGATGAGCTGAATCCTCCGAACATACTCATGGTGTCTCGCTGCTGCGAGTGCACGATCACTGCTTCTTGCCGTGCGATGCAAACTCGTCGGAGGAAATACCAGCGGATTGGTTTCGCACTCCGAACTTGCAGCCTCAGGCAAGGCCTGTGGGTTTGCAAGGGGTAAGGTCATGCAACGTAAGCGCAAGGAGGCCGTTCGCAAGGAGACGTGGTGGGGATGTGTTAGGAATCTGCTTCCCGAACCTGCGCTGCCGTGCCACAAGGGTGCAGAAAGACACGACAAGTCCTAAACCATCCCTCGAAGCTACCGGAAGTCGCTGTTGGCAGGTGGTAGTGGAGAGCAACGGCGTGGTGGCATCTGCGGATGATGTGTCCTTCCGTCGTTCCGAGGTGTGAAGCTATGGCTTTGGTTTCGTGATGGTATTGGCAGATAACTGATGGCTGTTGAGTCGTTGTGAGCTCTTTGAAGCCCCGCTTGTGCGCAGGATTTTACCCCGCGCTTGATGGACCTGGATCCCCTGGTGGTGCAGGTGTGACCTCAAGAGTGCCCAGAGCGCTTGCTCAAGAGTACGTCTGAACGACTACGCGTTCAACTTCCATTCCGGCACGATAGTCCCAAACCGTGTGGCCGAAGCCATGCAAGGCACCTTATATAGAGGTATCAGTAAGAGGGCTCATGGTTTTGGCTGACCTACCTGCAGTTTGGGAAGACTGCGTCCCTTGTCAAGGTGGGCTCTGAGCTTTCACTACGCTTCGACCGTGTGGAGACCAGACTAGCATTGATTGAAATTCTTGGAACGAGGTTCGCAATTCAGGATGCTTCAAGTTACGTTCAGCGGAGCAGGCTCAAGGGTCATAGGCCACAAAGGGCAAGGCCTGGCTGCCAAGGATGGAAACCACCTCCGGGACGTGACCTTGCGCGAAGGCCGGGAGCCCTTTGCGATCTTCGTGGGGCCGTCGCGATGCAACTTGACGCCTTGACCTGAGCTTTGGGAAGAAGTCGTAAGCCATGTAAAGTCAGAATCCTGAAGCGGGTACGTTTCGTGCACTTCGTGCCGCTGTCATCACCCTCAGCTCGAGCAGCTGGCGCTGGCTTGTTTCTTGAAAATAGCCACTGCTGTGGAAGAGGGTCTTGGCGAAGGTTGGACCAATATGACTATGATGCTGGTCTGACCATGACGACGATGACACATTTGTACTGTTACCCTTGTTTGGGAGATCGCCCATGTACAATGCCAGTCTGTCTCGTGTAGCCTTCTGTGTAACACTAGCACTGGCTCTTCTGTGCAGGCCACTTCTTCTTTGGAGTATAGTGCTGTTGCTGTCCCAGCTTTGCTGCTCCCATCAACTGACGAGCTGCAGTGGGAGGTCTGATGTTCGTATGGGGCAGGGAGACACTAAGCTCACCGAGCCTACAACTCGCTCTGCCGTCTGCAGCTGCAAAGTCGGGAGATTTTTCGGATGTCGAACGATTGATTTCCGGGAGAAACGGGCTTTCATCAACAAGTGAGGCAGTGATGAAGACTTTCGCATGGCTTCCATTGCGTACTATGGCACTATGGAATCGCAGACACTGTGCCAGAAATTGCTGAGGTCGTATGCTTGTTGCTCGGATGCAAGCAGATGCCCACCGAGCACAGATTCAGGGAGGATTATGGCTGGGATCTTCTTTGCCTTCTCCGAAATGCGCTCGCTTCTCCTTCGCCCTTCCGTCCTAAGAGAACGCCTAAGACAAGGCGAGAACGGCGAAGAGAGGAACTGTGGAGCGTGAGGCTTAGCATGGCCTAAGCTTTTTGATTCTGAATCTTGCTGGTGTCCTCGAACCTGTGGTAGTACACACAATATCACACAGCCGATGTGTTCACAAAAATACTAGGATGCAAGCAAACTCGATGCCCGCCGAGTCGTTCCCGGAAGTCTGGAACGTGATGTGCACGGTGCTCGATGGCCGCGCTGGCGACCAGGAAGTGCAGGCCAGGACGGGAAGGTCACCGTAATGCCCATGGGTTTCGGGTGAACCTAGACCCCCCAACTACCATCTAATATCCCTTAAATACCCATCATTTTGGGCCAATCGGATTTTGGGGAGCCTGAGCTGGCTGTGCTTGAGCCGCTCTCGAGTACTGCTTTGCGAAGGTCATGGTGGACGCCCAAGGGCAGGCACAGTACACGAATGTCACCATTGCAATGTGCCTGGACTGCATTGCGCGGTTGGGAGGCAAGATGCCAAGGATAAAGTCGCGTCCCTCTCCGTGACATCCTGTCAGCACATGCGCCGAGGCCAATGCCCAGCATCGGCTTCGTTCCCCAGATCGACCTGGCACCTCGACTGGCGATGTCCACATACATGTGACTGAAAGGGTTGCAAACCTGGGGCTGGGCGCTCCGACATGACTAAATGCCAGTCTCAAGCACCGCCAGTCTGAAGAGTTCGGAAGTGCTGGGCCCAATCTGAACCGAAAGCGAATGAAGCGCAGCCTCGAGGTGCAGCCGTCCATGGGAAGCTGGGCCCCGCTCCCGGAGATGAGGGCGGCAGTAGCGCTGACAGGTCAGGGCGTAGGAGTACTTTCTGGTGGCTGGGCATGGAGTCGAGTTCTTCTGCTCTCGGGACCAAGCCTTTCAAATCCACTGCGACCTTTGCTCACGACCGCAGTAAGAGCGACGAAGAGGAGTTCTGCATAGCTGCGGAGGAGACTCAGGCTTTGCTAGTTGCTGAGGCTGGTGGAACCGTGGTGGTGATCGTCGGATCTGGCCTGCAGGGGCCGGAGGCCACTATGCTGCTCTCTTTCGAAGCTGGACCAAGAGGGTTGGCTGTGGGAGTCAGGACATCGTTTTGCAAAGTAAAGCCAACTTTAGTGACGCCGTTCCTTGCCTGCTTTTCATTCGGAGGCTGCCGACGAGAAACCCCTACCCTAACGCTTTTCAAGACACTTCCAGCGAACAGGCCATTTCTGAAGCACGGCTCCAGCACGCGCAACAAGTCCTGAGCCCTGCCAAGCTCGTCCCGGAAGCGCTTTCGAGGCGTGTCAGCTGTTGACCTTCGGCAACAGCAGCCTGCTCGAACTCGAGGTCTCCACCGACGTCTTCGAGGTGAGAGACGTATCGGCCGTGCACGGGTTCACGTCCCTTGAACATGGAGTCGTTGATGGGCTGACATCGCTGTTGAATCCATGGCAAACTCAAGCAGAGTAGTTGGTCGCCACCGAAGCCAGGATGAAATGATCGCGGAGGATGAATTCCCTGGGTGGCCTGCTCAGCCCGGCAAGAAAGGTCACCCCTTGATTAACTTCTAAGATTCTAAGCTTTCCACATTGAATTTCGCGCGTTGCCGCCGACCACACCTAGAACCGACACGTCCCGCACCGTGTGCTCAGGCGGAGGGTCCTTCGGTGCATGGTGCCGCCTGCAGAACCCATGCCGATGGCCAGCCCCCCAGTGTTCTGAAGGCCGAATCAGAAATCGAGGTCTCTAGCGACTCTACCGTAGCAGCTCTAGCGGCATTCGTGGTATCCTAGGCCTGTGAGATCTTCCCTCACCTCGGAGCATGCCTTGCAGTGGACGACCAGGCACCAGCCTTCTCTGTTGAGGGCTTGCGGGGTCTTGAGACGGCCAAGATCTCAAGGGCTCAAGGGTTTCTCGCTGGAGGTGGCCTTCAAGGGTGGGGGCTTTAATGGGCTTTGTCTCTTCAAGCTGTTGAGTTGGGTTACGGTAGCACTTCCTCGAGTTCTGGCAAGCCCAGTGAATGCGATAGTAGATTAGTAGATCCATGCTTTGCGGATTCTGTGCTATCGCACACTGGGTGTTTGCTGATTGATTGGCTTCTCGGCTACATGTCGTCACATGTTATTGTAAAGCATCTGTAAACCTGGCACTCCTGCCACGGATGGAATTGGGTCACCCAGCCATCACACCCACCATTCACATTCGTGGTGGTCATGAATCATGGTTAAGGGTCCGGGCTGTTTCAGGGTACCCGCTGCCTGGTTGAGAATGGTGTGGAATCGATTTTCATCCTAGATGTCATGTATTCTCTTGGCCGTGTTTGCACACTTGTGCCGTTATGTACGTCGCTGCATGTCTATGCACACACACACACACCTTTGCGCATATTGTATGATGCAGGTTCAGAAATATATATATATATATATATATATATATAATATGTATGTATGTATATGTATACATGCACACACGCATACATACACACGCATGCAGATACTTGTGCGCATACGCATTGATACTAGAAGAATATGTATACACACACACACACACTGTCTCTCCTGTCTCTAGTCTCCCTCTCTCTCTCGCGCTACATCTGGACACATGGGTGTCTGTGCTTGTGTCTCTCGCTCTCTCTTTCTGTTCTCCCCTTTCTCTTACACTCGCGGTGGCTCTGACTTTTGCTTTGAGACTTTGTGTTCTTTCTGCCCTTCTCACTCTGTCTGTTTCCGATTTTGATCTTCATCTGTCGATCTGTCTCATTACTAGCTTGCTTTCATCTTCCTCGCTCCTAATCTGTGTGGTTCAAGGCAAGAATCCTGCCTTCTGCCGTCCAGGTACTGCCAGTGTCCGTGGCCGGATATGCGTTGCCAACATGTTTTATTAATCGGGTGCTGCATTCAGAGGTTATTGGTAATTGGACACTTTTGATGGCTTTTGATGCCTGTGTTTACCTTCCCCCATGCACCTTCCCGTACATCGCTCTTGCGCGGCGAATCTCCACCTTCGCCAGGCCACAGACTGGAACTTCACGTACTCTCGGTCCCTGACGCCGTTGGTCGACGCCGTGACCCCCGCGCGGCTCTCCGCAGCGACCAGCCGCGGCCCCGACTGGGAGACTCCGGTCTCAAAAGGAGTAGTGACCTGTGACTAGTGTTCTTTGTGGTCTTGCCTAAACCCTAAACCCTAAACTAAACCCTAAACCCTAAACCCTCAACCCTAAACTATCCCCTAAACCCTATTCCCTATTCCAACTCATCGAAGAATAGGCCCTAGAAGAGTGGAATTTTTTGGAGGCGGCTTCCTTCACCTCTCGGGCCGGGGCTTTCCTGCCGCTGCACGCTCCAAGCTCGGCTTTTCCTTTGCATTCTCGAAGAGCCTTTAGGGTTTGGGGTTTAGTTTAGGGTTTAGGGCTGTCACATGCCGGGCTTGGCCACAGTGGCAACTCCTGACTTTTGAAGCGGCGTGGCTCGTGGACATCTCAAGATCCCTTCCGTGGATGGACTTTTTCATTACTTGTTGGCCTGATGCTTCATGTTCTTGTGGGGGTTTGCAATCATGTTTGCAGCGTCCAGGTTTGCTGGGAGGAGCCCCGCCAGCAGCGCAGGACATTGCATCCTGCCTGCGTTTAGTGACATTTCTCGTTTCAAGTCAGCAGGGTTGCTTTGCGGGGCTCTGCATGCGCTTCTCATGCAGTAGACGGATGGCAGTGCTACACGAGTACAGAGAGCTACTGATGTAGAGGGTAGATGCTGTGCTGAGGTAGTTCGCGTGGCTGGCCAGCGCTGCCGGATCGAGGCGCGGCAGCAACAAACAGAAAGGCATGAAGCCAATTCGTCGGGCGACCGCGAAGGTGCAAAGCTGTCTACCCGTGCGCAGGCTTCTTCGTCCATGTCCTTGACCTGCTTCCTCGCAAGGACGCAACTATGTTGCGCACAAGATCAAGAGCTGGTGCAATTAGGAAAATTGGCACCTACACAAAACATTTCATCGCATCATCAGGTCGTTTCGCTCTGCCTTGAAGTGACTCTGACGATGCCTTGCCTTATTACTTATAGCATCTCAAGTTTATCCATGTTCAACTTGAGCCGTCGGTTGAATTTACATACATGTGTTGCCATCATGTCGAGCACAGCAGAGGAGGCAACCCGCCCCAGTGGCGGGAACGGCTGCACCGATTGAGTTGAAACCTCAGCAAAGGCTCTCGTTTCTGTGTGTATTCTGTGGTGTATACGGGAAAGCTCGAGGCCGCAGAGCCGATCCTCGAACCCTCAGGTCTCTTAAGATTGGTTCTAGGCTGGAGCCCCGTTGAGGATCAAAGTCGTCTTTTGTTAGCTTTGCTGTCCTTGGGCTGCGGCTGCAATCTTGCGATCCGAGGCGCATGGGGGCTTTGGTGGCTAATAGGCTTTGCTCAGGATCTCAAAACTCTCAGCAGTTGAGGCTTTGGGCCCTGGGAGCTGGACATGCGGTGCTTCTACCGTGGCTCCCGGCATGTTTTTGGAATCGGGCTTCGGATTTTGGCTTCCGATTGCGACTCGCAGCAGCTTGCCATGCCAGGGGCACCTCTATTGACGACAGCTTCGCAGTTTCGGAGGCTGCGCGGGGGAACCACAGCACACTGACATTGCAGCTGCGGGGCTATTTGTCACTTGTTTTTGGCACTCTTCCCCGTCTCAGCCAGAGGCGAGAGATCCACCCGTCGCGTTGGTGGTGGAAAGCAGTCGTCTCTGAGTAGCAGCAGTCGTAGTCTCGCCTGGAGGTGGCCCCAAAGCGCGGCAGCCTGCACGGTGGGGTGACGCTGGACGTGAGCCGGGAGCCCACGGGGTGCTCGGGACCTTAGGAGCCTATGCTTGAAAAACAAATTCCTCAGCCCTCAATTACCTGTGGGAGAGGTCGGGCCTGGAGTACACAGAGTTTAAGGATTCGGGCTTCTCAGTGGAGTGCAGTGTGAACTTCGTGCGCTGTGTGTAGTTCGGTTGCCAGACTAGGAGACAAAGCCATTTGGGAGGAGTCAGAGTTGTACAGGAACCCAATCAGCAACTCAGTCTCAGAGTTGACAGCTTTGGCCGAGGTGGCTACGGTTTCGACGCCGATCCCATGCGTCATGAGATCTTCATTCGCGTGGCCCTGCCCAACGGGACCATCCAGGAAAGCTGGAGATCGTCGGGGTTGTTGTGGAGTTGTCCTCTCAGCCCCTCGAAGCCTCGAAGCCTCGAAGTTCGAAGAAGTCGCAGGACCTGCCCTGCCCTCTTCGGCCCGCTGCTTCCCTGCAGGGCCGGAGGTTGAAGTGTGAGGCGCTTTCAACTTTTTCAGGTCAGAGATTGCAGAAGCGCTTTTCTTGCCGTCTCGCTCCGTTGCCGCAGCTTAGCAAGCTGTGGAGTGGCGAGTGGCAAAGCCGCCCTTCTGCCTAGAGTGTTGTCGCATCGTCATCGTTGAGAGTTGGTGCACGTGGTGCCAGTGACAAGAGGAAAGAAGGGGAGCCGTCCCTAGCAGGCTCCATCCTTGCCGCCGGAGCTCCTTCATTACACCAGGCCTCGTCTGGGGGTTCATTGCCCAGCAGGAAATCTCCCGTAGGACAGCTGTGCAGGTCCATTCGTAGTATTTCAGGAAACCTCCATTCTTTCGGGATTGTTCCAGAGTCTTGTAGCGGGTGGACATGCCATTCTGCCATTCTTCACGCCTGGATGCCCGAGAGCCTGGAAGCCCAAACCTTATGGCCCGCAGGACTGCCCAAGAAGGAGGACTAGACGAGGCATCATGGGTGGCCTTGAAATGAAATACTTTCAGATGTCAAGACCTGTCGAATTGTGCGTCAGTTGTCCGACATCTTGCCGTATCGCCGTCGGCCTTACTCTGTGGGGAGTGTTGGATACGCGGGAAATGTTACTGGCACTAAGAGAAACATGCGAAAGCAAACTAAGTCTGAACTGCAAAGCAAATTGAGTGTCGCACTTCGCAAAGCCCTCGCGCCTCTCTGAGATGGTTGAGCCAACGGTATCCACTGCAGGGAATCGGCTAATGGACATACTGTAAGGTCATGCTGAAACTCAGTTCTCGCAAACCGCATCTGAGCCTAGAGTGGTCGACAGGGTCGAAGCCCGACGCCACCAAAGATCAGCCCACACTGCCCTGGCCTGTCAGTTACTGGGACGGGTCATCGTGCGGCTGAATGGCATCGAGTCGTCCTGCAGTCGCCTTGGTGGTACCCATTGCTTAATGTATGTCTTGGTTCGGAAGGCTGTCGCATCCGGGTGGCTGTCGGTTTTGTGGGGCTGTTCGTCCGTTTTTGGGCTCTTGGATCGAAGGCGTCTCATAATGAGGTGTTGATCCAGCTTCAAAGATGCCTTTGTACATGTGTATGCGTGTGTATATGTGTATGTATGCCTGTATTTGCAGTTTTGTTTTTTGTACACATCAATACATTTGGATAGAGACACACGGGCACAACTCCACGAGGTGTGTAGTATACCAGACAAGATGTCATCTGTGCATCTTTTCCACCCACAGATTGAAGCGCATTCTGAGGCTTGCCGATGGACACAGAGCTCAGCCCGAAGCTCGGTAGGTCCGGTGACCCTGTGGCACCCTGCCTGTGCTTGGCATTTAAAAGTAAAGCGTCAAAAGCTTTGGTGGCAACTGCGACGCCGCTCTCGCGGTGGCGAAGCAAGCTTCGGAAGCTGACACCTACGAACCGTTCTACGCGAAGCTTCACAGTGCATGCGGCTAGCCCTGTCAGCGAGTGCCCAGACATGTCCACCAGCTATGGATTCGTTTCATAAGGTTCCTCTAGTGTCTTTGCCTCAAAGAAGCACTGGCGGTGTTCCGATTACAGGCGAGTTCAGGTTGCTGAAGGCGGACTTAACTTTGAGTCGAGTCGCGAGGAAGGTCGGTAGGTCGGTCTGCCTCGCATGCGGCGAGCCCTCGGCCTCCGAGAAGATGAGGAAGAGAACAATAGTAATAATAATAATAGAAATAGTAATCGTAATCATAATCATATTAATAGTAATAATAATCATAATAATAATAGTAATCCTAATCATAATAATAGTAATAATAAGAATAGTAATCATAATCATAATCATAATAATAGTAATAATAATAGCAATCATAATCATAATAATAGTAATAACAATAATAGTAATCATAATCATAATAATAGTAATAAAAATAATAGTAATCATAATCAGGCCAGAGCCGCTAGGCACAGACCGTGCACGCTCTGCAAGTCGCTCGCGTCGTTCTTGTTGCAGAACACACCGGCGCTTCCCTGCGCCAGATCTCCCGACTCTGAAAGCTTACGTGGCTAGATCGGTGGCCTAGCATTCTGAATAGAGAGAGTGCCCTGCACGGGAGCGTGCGAGGACCTGCAGACGGCTATGACACATGATCAGTGCGTGTTTTTCTGGTCATGTTCATGGCGCTTGGATTCTTTCAGCAGTCAGGCTGCGCCTACCGCTTTGCTCGAGCAAGCACGCCGTCTGTCGTGGAGGCGTCAGAGGGACCTGGTAAGCATTTAGGCATGCAGGTCAGCTCTGCGTTTTGTCGCGGCTTTCTAAGTCACGACAGTCCAGGACCTCAGGACAGGAGCCGGGATGTTCGGCTGTTCTTCGGGTCCCGTCTCCTCGCAGGTCACGCCCTTGGAGGGGGCCACCCTCGAGCACGAGGCCGCAGGGCCTCAGGGTTGACTTCGACCTCAATCTCCGTGGCTTCAAAGTTTAGCAGAGTCTAGCAGAGTCTAGCAGAGTCTAGCAGAGTCTAGCAGTCTAGCAGATGAGTTCAAGGCACCGCTCGTCCGAATCGTGGTGGCTGGCTGGGATGGTGCCCACGGTTCGGACCTCGCCCAGGTCCGATTCTCAGACTCGACTGCTAGCTACCAGGGGCAGTCCTTGGTCCTTCTGTACAGGGCTCGTTCTTCTTATAGCTTTTAACTTTGAGGCACCTTGACATGGAAGGTAGGGAGGAATCAGGAAGAAAAGACTCGACTGCAGTGCGAGAGCTCCCATTTTCTAGGACTCTAGGCTTCTCTGGATTTCTGTGGCTCTGCCAGACCTTGACCTCCAGCTCCTGAAGCTTGTGATGTGTGGCAGTGGCGAGGTCTTCTTCGGTTCCCAGGAGTGTGAAGTGAACTTCACCAAGCGCCTGGTTCAGCCCTGTGCGGCTCTCAAGTCGAGCTCAGCAGCGGGGTCCGTGAGTCCTGCGTGTTGCTCGGTGACTGCAGCTTTGCAGGCCCGGACTGCGGTTCAGGCCACTGTGCCGACACCTCAGATGCTGAGCGCGAGGGCGGAGTTCAAAGGTGCACGGAAGGTGTGCAGAGTTTGCAGCGTTGCGGAGGGCAGGCAACAGCTCTTGGACTTGAATCGTCATGAGGTTTCGAACGTGCTAAATGCAGACATGGCAGAGGCTGCCAGGGACCCAGTCAGACTTCAGCGGCAGGCGGTGGCAGCATCGTCGCATGACGAGTCAGGTACGGCACTAGCAGGGTAGCAGGGTCTTCACGCGAGTGGACGCGCAAAGGCGAGTGGCGACTCACTTTCTTTCCCTCCCGTTGTAGCGGCCTCAGAGCAACCGAGCTGCTCGAGGAGGGTGATTGTGTCTCCAACACGAGGCCTGCAAGTGCGATCCTGGTTGGTACGGCTCGCTCTGCCGGAGCCCCTTCAATCCTGTTTGGGCGACGTAACATGCGACTTTTCGCATACTTTCTCGTTCATGCTTGTTTTTTTGGTGTATGTTTACAAAATGTCTGTAGTTTTCCATCGCACCTCCACTGCTTTTTCGGGTTTGATGATGGCATTCTTCATCTTCGTCGCATATTTTCTGATTGACCGTCGTCAACACTCTCACTGCTTCTGTATGTCTTCCGGCGATTATGATTGCAATGTAACTGTCGGAACTGTGGGTACCACTGTTGGGTCCTGCAGGTCTGTTTCATAGCAGCAGTGCTGGTTTGATGCATTGACTTTGCAACAGTGTGCTGAAGGCATATGACGAGCAAGGAACCCACGGAACATAAAGCTAAAAATAACTGAGGTTTCCAGCTTGGCTCTGCCAGGGTTTAATCGTGACATGACAGGGATGGACGCCTAAGTCCTGATCATGTATCCTGGTGGCCACGATCCTAACCAGTTGTGAGGCCCACCATGGCCGGAATCAAAATCACTTCCCTTTTTTGGCAATCACCGAAGCAATGAACACAACTGAGACCCAGTGTTTGTAAGGAGCAGCCGGCGGCACTGACTTAGTGAATTGGTTGCGATGGTGTGCTGCTGTTGCTGCTCCTGAGGATGATGCTGCTGCTACTACTACGCTTCCGCTGCTGCTGCTGCTGCTGCTGCTGCTGCTGCTGACGATGACGATGATGATGCTGATGATGATGGTGATGGTGGTGGTGGCGGTGGCGATGATGATGATGATGATGATGATGACGCCGACGACCATCTGTACGACGAATCTGCGTCATCGTCGTCGTCGTCGTCCTCTTGCTGCTCCTCTTCCTGCTCCTCCTTTTTTCTCATCGTCCTCCTCCTCCTCATCATCACCATCATTCTCACCACCGTCACCACCGTCACCACCGTCACCACCGTCATCACCGTCACCACCGTCATCATCATCATCATCATCATCATCATCACCATCATCATCACCGTAATCACCATCACCATCACCATCACCATCATCATCATCATCATCATCACCATAATCACCGTCATCAGCATCACCATCACCATCACCATCATCATCACCATCACCATCATCATCATCACCACCACCACCAACATCATCATCATCATCATCATCATCGTCATCCTTGATCAGCATCACCATCCTCATCATCGCCATCATCATCATCATCATCATCATCATCATCATCATCCTTTATCAGCATCATCAACATCATCTTCGTAATCGTCATCGCCCTCTTCTTCATCATCGTCGTCAGCTCACCATCCCGATCACCACCCCCCCCGCACAATCAGCGCCACGATCAAGATCAGCATTCACCCTAAAGCTACAGCTGCTGTTACTGCTTGGTAGTTTTGTGAAACCTCGCTTGGTGCAAGGTCGTGATCCGTGCACGTGCGTGTATCCTGGCACGGTGTCCTGCGTGGGTCTTACTGAGGGCTGAGGCAGTCGCAGTCCTAGATGTAGCCCATGCCACTATCCCATCCAACAAAGTGTCAGATCTCATTCGCAACTGCCGAATGGACCGACTCGAGTAATTGTGTGATCACAGCGTCGGAGGATCGATCGCAGGTTCGCTGTTTGCTCGCTTGGATCTGCCCACCCTGACAGGCAACGACGGCGCAGACGGAGATGGCAAATGCTCCCGTCCCAGATCATTCGAGCTCGGTCATGAACTTTTGCTTTGTGGGAAAGGTGCTCTTGTCTGCTCGAAAACCCATCGCTGATGAAATGAACTGCACCGCGAGTGTATGCAGGCAGCTGCGTGGATCTGCATAACGGGACGAACTGTGAAAGCTGCGACGAAGGCAGGTGGCCAGTGTTCCTGTGTTTCGCAGTCCAATTTTCCGGGTTCTACAGATCAGAGATCAGGAAAAGCTTTCTGAATTCTTCTGCGTGAACGATGCGAGCAACCGTAGCCGCTCTCCTGGTTCAGCTCTATCGGTTCAAGGCAAGTCAAAGACTCCAAACACATGATATCGTCGGCACCAAAGTGGCCGAGGCTAGTCCAGGCGGACAAGGCTTGTAGCAGTCTTTGGCAGCATGGGATCGCTCAACCCCAAAACAACCCGAAGCCGTGAGATTTGCAGAGGATGTAGGCTTCAGATACTCGCTTTAACAAATGGGAGTTTCCGAAAATTAGGGTACCCTTATTTGGGGATCCTTACAATAAATTTAGGGTGCTATATTAGGGTCCCCTATTGCACATCCCTCTCTAAATTAGGGTCCTTTTTTGGGTCCCCAATATAGTACGGCACCCTTATAAAAAGGACCCCCGAAAAGGGACCCTAATTTAGAGAACTACGTACCCCCAAAAAGGGACCCGAATTTAGAGAACTACCCATATACCTCATAGAAGCCTTATAGAAGCCCTAATTTAGAGAACTACCCATATACCTTATAGAAGCCTTGTAGAAGCCCTAATTTAGAGAACTGCCCAAATCCAGCCATATGTTCTATCGCTAAGCCCTACACCCTAAACCCTTACTGTTACAATAGAATTCTATCCCAAATCCAGCATGGATGTCGAGAGTGCGCGGCAACTGGACACCCCGCTCGCGGCCGAGCAGAGCAACGAGGCGTTCCAGGCCGAGCATCCCAAACCCCTGCGGTTTGGGGTTTGGGGTTTAGGATTCAGGGTTTAGGGTTCAGGGTTCAGGGTTCAGGGTTTAGGGTTTAGGGTTTAGGGTTTAGGGTTTAGGGTTCAGGGCTGGCTCTGGGGCTCGGGGGATCTCGGTGGTCACGCATTGGAAGGCACATCCACAAGTATAGAAGCCAGTGGGCCCAGGCAGCATTTGCAGATTCTGTCGCTAGGGCTTCCAGACCCAAGGAGCTCTGCAGATCCCGCTAGCTTCGTGTAGATGGCTTCAGTGTGCTTCTTTCGATGGAGGATATCTTGAGCTGCTTTAGCTCGTTGCGGGAGAAGCCCTGCACCTGTTTTCTTTTATTGTGATCGGAAACACCGTGGCTGGCAAAGATCTTGCTCCACCCCCCCATATTATCATCCTCACTGTTAAAGAGATGTCGCGGGGCAATGCTGAGGCATCATAGAGGTTAGTTCGTAGAAGTCCCCCTAGAGCAGCATACTCAGAGTCGTGAGAAGCTGTAGTAGTACCTACGTTGTTATTTGAGATGAAGTTGACTGATACGGCGGCCGACTGGGACAAAACTGCTGCTGCCACCACCACTACCACAAGCACCAGCACCAGCACTTCACCACGCTACGACCACAGCTGCATCTGCACGAGATCCAATCCTTCCCAGCCCGAGCCTCCTCAGGGCAACTGCGTGTCACGCAGCTTCCTGACCTGGGTCTTTCCCATATGTCGGCGCTCCGCGGAAGTGGAGCAGCTTCAGGCTCGGGCCGGGGGCCGGGATTCCTCTAGCGCCTGAATGCTCATCCGCATCAGCTGCCTTGCGGCATTGCGGCACTACCAAGGTTTCTGATCTGTTCGAAGTCGAAGCTGATGCCCGACCGGAAGTCTGAGCCTCAGTGGTCTCGCGTGAACGACCTTCGCGCCCAGCGCATTCCGCCGTGATTGAAGTCCTTTTTCCGAGGTTCAGGTAAAGTCCTTCCTGGATCAGTGGAGAGCCAAGGCACAGCCGTGAACAGATTCGGTTTCTCTGCATCCATCAGTGCCCTGGTCTGGAGGTGGGCAGCCTGCCAGGGCGGCGCCGCCGGCGGAGTGGCTGGCCAATCCCTCAACTGGGTGGCCGTGGCACCCGTCAATGCAATTGAAGGGGTTGCTTCTCGCACGCCCGAGGCTTCTGCTGCAAGTGCTGGCGAAGTTGCACGTCCCACGGCTAAGCTGGTGGTGGATGCTGCGGTTTCTGCAGGCACTTCAGCCATCTACTGCCATCTACAGTTCTCCAACACCATATTACCCCAAGCTGACCCAAGCCGGTACTTTCAACCTTCAGACAGTCACGACATGAAAGTGCTAGAACCCAACAGATGAACCTTGGACTTTGCCAGCACCTCTGTGTGGTCTACGGGGTCACATGCGCTTCCCAGCGTCATCAGCCCGCCACCTTCAGATTGGAAGCGATGAGTCCTTGCTAGTCTCTGCCAACATGACGATCGCATGGCTCAGCATTCGCAGGTCACAGGATGTACCAGGAGCAAACGCAGCAGTATTTGCCAGTCGTGTGGCCAGCCCCCATCCGCAGGCGTTTCTGGAGTTCAGCTTTCCGCTTTTCCTGAATCTTATCATCAAGTTCGTGGAGCAAGACGATGCGCCTGTTTGGCAAGGCCTGGTGCTTCTCTCTGAACCAACAGGGATTCGGCAAAGCCGGAGCCGGAGGTCTTCTCTTGTGTCTGGCCATGTTCGCCACCGAGGGCCTGGCCGCCGGGATCCCGGCTTCGGAGAGGGTCCAGAACTCTAGGACTGAGGCTCTTGAGCGGGTTCATAGGTTTGTCGTGAGACTACGCGTCAGCGACACATTCGCCCGGTGCCGTCTGTGGAAACTTTCCACAACGTTGTCCTCGCAACTTACGCTGGCGTTTTTACGGCTTTGCATCGCGAAATGTGCCCCGGGCAACTCGTGGGCCCAATCGGCTTTCAGACGTCGGATTGGGTTTGAGTTTATAATTAGCCATAATAAACAAACCCAAATCGACTTGAATAATCTTGAATATCTCCGTCTTCAAGTAATATGTCACTTTCAAGATAATCCGAACCCGGTGCATCCCGAGCACTTCAGGGACTTGTTGATGCTGCTGCGTCGATTGGCTTGCAGACTGCCGGTCTCCGCATTCGGGCCTCCTTGACGCTTGGATGAGAATCGGGAAGTGCTTGTAACATTCTGCTCTTATGTCGGCGCTCGGCACACACTGGTGATGGGTTTCGGGCCGAGCAGACACGGGGGAGAGAGAGGAAGAGAAGTGTCTTCATGCGCGCAGAGGAGGCGGAGGAGGAGGATGTGACCACGTTGCTGATACTAGTAAGAGTCAATGTGGGTGCGATCATACGTGGTGCTTCCGGTGGCAGCAATCCCAACTGCCATCGGCTTGGAGTAGGAGTTGATTTGCGATTTGGCATAGTGGATTGCAGCGCCACGGAGGCTGGGGGTTTTGCTTCAATCGCCCACCTCGAAGCAAACAAGAGCTGCGCAATTACATCTCGGACGCTCGCTTCAGCGCCCCACGCTGGCATAGCTGATTGCGTACGACTGCAATCCAAGAAGGGAGCTTGGAACATTCTGCTCAAGCCGCGCACAATTTTGACATCGAGGAACGAACCAAATAGACCATAATATCATCTGCAAGCGCAGCAGACCGCACACAGCGCCGTTGTACTCGTGGCATTTGTCGTTCGGACTGCAAGTCCTCAAGGTTTGTTTACCTCCTTGCAAAACTGAGGGTGTCTGCAATTTTTCGGAAAGCACTTCTGGCTGCAGTTAAGCTTGCTTGGGGATGCAACAAGCGGTCATGGTGTATCATGTACATTTAGTTTCACGTGGTCCGGACTTAAGATGATCTGAGGTTGTACTGCTGCGGCAAGACTCTATGTCACTTGGCAGTGTTTGACAGTCGGGACGCCACGCTTGTGCAAACATGGAGCTGAGGCTCAGCTTCTCCACAGGCAAGTTGAACAACATGATTACAACAGACGTGGACAAAGCAAAACGTGCCCGCAGCTCAGTCCACGCCTCCGCCTCCGACGAAGTTTTGCCCAAACTCAGAGTCTTGTGCTTTGGTCGGTCTGCTGAGGCCCTGCGCTATCTCCATGTGCTGTTGCTCACAGCCTCTGCCTAAGCTTTTATTTCCAAAGAGTCTCATGGATCCTTGTCCCCAGCCTGGGTCCCTAGCTTTAGCATCAGAATCGTGCTGGAGTGGATGCTCGTGGCCTCGTGGTGTTGTTTCAAGGCGATGTTCAGCATCATGGCCTCGCAGCATAGTAGCATCGTGCAGTATCATCATCGTACAGCAGTCGTGAGAGCGGAGCAACAGGGTTCGCACATGCATCGGAAGTTCAGCTCAGGCACCAATGAAGATCTTCATTGCCCTGTGGTCTCTGCACAGCCTAGTTGGCCCCTCCGTCTTCATTGGACTGAGCTGGATGGGTGTGGACACTTGCCTGAAGTGTGGATGCTGACCGATGTTGTCTCGAGAACGCTCGTGTCGTGTGGAAGCTTTCTACAGCTTTTCAAGTGCAGAGCTCTTGACGGAGCGAACTTGTGCAGTGGATATCCTTTGGCTCTGAAACGATGGCCTTTGCCGAGGTGATTCTGTTAAATCCGGCAGCATGGCTACCATAAGGTTTCAGCTCTTGCTCGTGCTTGGACCTTGCGGAGCACACCTCGCGTTTTTAGTCCTGAATTCTTACGACAGCTTCAGCTTTGAAACCTGGGCGGCCCGTGCGAAGCTTCCGAAACCTTCTTTTGATTGGGAGTTGTCTTCAAGCCTCCGAGTGAATGAGTGGCAGGAACAGTGGATTCATCTGAAGTTCCGTACGAGCAAAGAGACGAGAGCGAGGCCATGATGTACATCATGAACCGGTTGGAGGATGCACAACAGGCGACGACGGACGAGCGAGTACGCAAGGTCACAGAGGCCAGCAGAATGCAGTCACTTTGTCTCTCTCTCCTCCGATTCTGCCCGGGGTTGCTTGGGCACTGTGCTCGGTGAGGAGTGTTTGGTGTTTGCGGACCTTCCACCCTCCCCCCTTTCTGCTGTGTCAATCATTGAGATTTCCGTTCGATTGAAAAACATCCCCGCCTGTCCATGCCTGAGCTGCCCCCACCCAACCCCACGTCATTCTCGTGTCAGCCGCCGCAATTGGGGAAAGAACTTGACTTCGGGGTGCCAAAAAATCCTGGTTGGTGTGAAAATTACATACAGTTGTGGGCCCAAGCTGGGGTTCGAGGCGAAGCCAGCTGTCGCATGGGAGGGCGAATCCAGTGTAAAATGCAATAGATTGTGGTTCAGGTACAAGACACCGTAGTTTGTCAGGGAGGGTTGCATCCAGAGCACGATCCATTGTCAATTGCGATACACCATGGGCCGTGTGTGCCTTATGCTCGGACTTGGGCCTAAGGCGCCTTAGATCGCCTTAGGCCCGGATCTGAGTTCGCCTTAGACCCCCAAAACCCCTTGCGCGGCTCTCGGAGGTTATTTCCTCCATCAACGTCATTAAGTGCTATGGCTGGGAGGACCAGGGGCTGACTGGGCAGAACGAGCGATAGCTCGTGTGACAGGGAACCTGCATATCTGGAGCTACCAAGAATTGCGGATAAGAACGTGCGTGCTACTGACGCACCTAAATCTGCATGCATCCTTACATGTATACAGGCCTACACATCTGCACACTTACAACTGTGTATATGATTGTATATGCATGCATGGGCATGCACCGCATGCGCTTATGGGTCTTCGTATGAGTGAGTCTGTGAATGAATGCATGCAACAGGAGCCCGCCACCGCCAAGGTGGAAGTGGCACGACGCGCTGAGCTGTCAGCCTTGTGGAGGCTCTACTGCCAGGTTCCCAGGAAGCCAAGCCGGGGCGGGGCCGAGCCTGGCGCGCCTTTCCGTTCAGAAGTTCAGAATCAATTGACTCGTCGTGGCAGTGTGAGGCCTCTACACGGTCTTCGAAGGGATGTGGTCCAGCGTAGCCTGGCGCTTACTCTCGCGTCCGAGCTGCTCTCTGAACGAACCACACGGCCTCGGCCAATGCACCTGGCTGCAAGGTCCCTTGCTGCACTGCCTTGATGTTTGCTTCCTACTCCTGGCTGATCCATGGCAACGTCAAGTCAAGGGTGTTTGGGTGCAGGGTCTCGGGCTCGGCAGAGCATGGTGTTTTTGGTCTGAGAGCTTCGTGATGCGAGCGGGCATTGCTTTCAGCACAATCCAACCGAGCTTGTAGTTGCGTCAACCATCCCGAGGCATCAGGACCCCAAGTCATTCTGCCGCGCCTCTCGTGAATGCGGACCGAGGAATCCAGACAAGCCCCTGACTCCGTCGCAAGCTTTCACCGCCATGAGCCTCCTGAGCATGGTCCAGGACACCTTCGCCCACTGGCCGTCAAGGCTTCTACTCGTGTTTGGAGTGTTCAGGACCCGCTCTTCACCATTCCCTGGGTGCTGAACCTCCTCGTTGAGGCCTCTTCCGTTCTGACTTGCAGTCCCTGTGAAAAATCGCTGGACGCTGAACAGAGGCCTTCGTCGCAGCCAAGCGCATTGAAGGCCGGTGCCGAAGCTTCGCCAGGAGTACAATCTTGGTGAGCCCTTGTCCATTGTTTTGCAAAGCGATGTTTAGAAATCATGTCAATGTTTCCTTTTCTGAATGGTTGGAGACCCTTGTTGTCAGCTATTTCCTGCGTCTTCCCCGGATCCATTTTCGCCCGTTCGCCTTGTCTGGGCAGGGCTCTTCTGGCTGCGCGAGTCTTCTCTTCCAGCAATCTCGGCTTTGGGGAGCTTCCTCCCAGTGCAGGAGGTTCGGGTGTGGGGCGCAGGGGGTACTATGCTGTTGTGGGTGGATAAGGTGGGTTGGAGTGTTGGCGATCGTGCCTGCCGTCGGCATGAGAGCATGTGCTGGAGTCACTTGTCTACAGGAGCGGCGTCAGCCTTCCATGGCCAGCATGGTCCCTCCTCTGAAGCTGGACACCGGAAGCGCCATTCGCCTCGACCACGCCTCCTTCGTCTGGAAGGATCAGGCCATCACCGCTCCTTGTGTTTCTTGTCTGTAGCAGTCTGTACCAAGCGTTGCAGGCGCAGTCGTTGTTGTACCTGTGGTCGTCTTGGACCAGCAAGAATGATGAAAGGAAGTGAAGGAATCACAGGAGAGAGAGAGGGCTAACACCGTGCGAGCTGCATGAACAATTCACCATTCATATTCACCAAGATAAGCATGATCTTTACGCACGTGAGAAAGCATGTGAGAAGTGTGCTGAGTGATCGTTCCAGTGGAGCAACGGATGAAACGCTAGTTTGTTGACATGTTCGTCGTCGTGGTTTCGTATGTGGTCGCCCTCGACAGAGGTTGCACGGGAGGTTAAGGCAAAATCTCGAGCTGACCAAATACCGTGAGGATGCAGCTGGAAAGCCCCCGAAGAAGTTCCGAATATTCTGGGGATCCTTTAGCTACGAATTCTGCAGCTCAGCACCCCTAGACAAGCGCATGACCTTCATCATAGAACCTTCGGCCGAAGCCTCGCAGCTTGGAGCTGTGTGGTGTGGAGCATGCACGCCAGGAGCCTGGAGAAGGCAGTCAGCCGACTTCCTTGGAGGAGGGCGAACAGCGAGGCAAGTACAGCCGATCTGGGGAGCGCCAAGGTTTTCCACTAGACTAGAGGAGGCCGATTCAAAGAGCATGGAAGAAGCGAGTTCACGAGGTGCAACTGAGTTGAACTCGTAGGGTCATGTTCATGGTAAGCTGTTGTGGATGGCTGTTCTCACGATTGTCGCCGTGCAACTCTCTGCAACAACCAGCAGCAGTAGCAAGGCTACAGTAGCTGTCGTTCCAATCTGCTGTGGTCTTTCAAACGAGTGAGAGACTTTTGAAACAGTGGTGTCAATGTGCTCACCGCGGATTTTTCGTAGTTCGAGATACTCTAGTATGACTTTTTAGCAGTAATCTCGACAGTGTGCATGAGTCATGAGGTGTGCTGTTCGTGTTGGCACCTTGCTAGAAGTCCTGCGTCCCCGGTGTTTGTGTGTGTGTGCGCACACACAGGTGACTTTCAGCTCCACGATCTGACCCTGCATGTGACTTGGGCTGCTCAAGAGCCGTAACAATGTCTGACCTCGCTCGATAACAGAGTGTAGAGAGCATGGTCATCTGTTTCCGGTTAGATCGCCCGATGCTGAATTCCAGAGAAGCTGAGGTTCAGAAGGGCTCGCTTGTTGCGGTGGTGGGCCCGACGGGCTCAGGAAAGTCGTCTTTTCTGCAGGCGCTGCTGGGCCCGCAGCTTAGACTTCGCACTGCTGGGCCAAAGCAGGAGACCGACACTGCGTCAGTTCAGCAGCCGATGGTGTTTAGTCTGGCAGGTAGAGTCAGCCCGACAGGCAGTAAACATAAGGTTCCGTGTAGAACGGGAGTTGCACCGAGACAGTTGTCCAAAAGTATACCCAGAGCATCCCGAGGTGAGATGCTAAAGAAGGACGGATCTGGCAAAGTCGAGGCTTGGGAAGGGGAGTCTGCAATCTCAAAACAAGCTGGGTGAGCTCCTCCATGGTAGGAAAGGCAGTCAGAACAACAATCATGCCAACAAAAACGTTCCTCTTCCTTCTCCTCCTACTCCGACTCCTAATCTTACTCCTACGCCGACTACTCGTACATATCCTCCGCGCGTCCCTCACCGGACAATGACTGAAAAGCGCATAGTGGCGCCGTACCAGGCCTGACCCGAGTCACTGACACTGCTACCATTACTACCAACCCCAGCGCCTACTACTACTACTACTACTACTACTACTACTACTACTAGCTACTGCTGCTGCCACTACTACGACTGCTACTACTACTACTACTACCACTGCTACTGCTGCTGCCACTACTACGACTGCTACTACTACTACCACCACTGCTACTGCTGCTGCCACTACTACGACTGCTGCTACTACT